GTGGGATGTAAACGGAGCAGGAGCTCGTCCGATTGTGTAGAACTCTTGGCCCGGCGATGGATGTTTGGCTGTCTCAGAATACGGCACAGTGCACTTTGATGGGGGCTCTCGTGGCCCACAGGTTAAGATGTTGGCCTCTCATTCAAAGTTCCCGGGTTCGAATCTAGGTAGCGACGGAAAAATGTTCTTCTCTGAAATTGTCCTGTTTTACCTCCTTTCCTGTTTATGCTCTCTAGCAATATTCCGTCGTCAGCTTTCATCTCCTCTTTCTGCCCTCACCTCCTTACCTCCTCACCTCCTTTGCCGCCTCCTCACCTCCTTTGCTCCTCCTCTGGGCTCCTGACTCTTTCTGCAGCCTTTCTACTGCTACTCCTTGGCTCCTCCTTACTGCTGTCTTTCAGCCACACCCCTGATCTTATGGTAGGAAAGATCTACACCTAGCCTTCTCGGACAAGGGCAAACAATCTCGGAGGGCCTGTGTGCAAGTTGTGCACGTTAAAGATCCCTTGGTGGTCTAAAACCGGTAAGAGTAAGCTTTCGCCCACACCCTGGCAAAATTCAAAAGTTACCAACTGAAAAGTATTTAATGTGTCCCGAGCGCTCATGTGACTGTATGCAGGTGCGAGCACCGTACAAACACTTACCACCAACAAAACTTTTAAAAAGGAAAAGGAGATACCTGTGAAATGGCCGAGCCACTTGTACAACACCAACAGACGAGGTTCAGGATCGTGCGAAGATAAGGATACATTCTATCGGAGACATTGAGAGAGCAGAGATTTCAGCCGTGTTTTTGATGTGTACGGGGCTTAGGTAAGGCAATGGTGGGTTTGTGTGTGTGTGTGTGTGTGTGTGTCTGTGTGTGTGTGTGTGTGTGTGTGTCTGTGTGTGTGTTTGTTTGTGTTTGTTTGTGTGTGTCTATGTGTGTGTGTATGTGTTTGTGTGTGTGTGTGTGTATGTGTGTATGTGTGTGTGTGTTTGTTTGTGTGTGTCTGTGTGTGTGTATGTGTGTGTATGTGTGTGTGTATGTGTGTATGTGTGTGTGTGTATGTGTGTGTGTGTGTGTGTGTGTGTGTTTTATTGTACATGAGTTCATTATTTGTGCCGAATCGCTAGCAGATCATTGCGTGTGTGCCTAAATGTACATCATATATTATGTGTGCAGATGTCCATAAATGCCTGGGCCCGCCTGTGTGTTTAGAAGTTCCCGCGGGTGTGTTTACAACACTGGTTCACAAAACTTTCTATTGGTCACTTTTACGGACAAGCAGGCTAACCCAGATTTCGGGGGTTTCCAGAAATTTTTACCTACACCACAAGTGGGGATTACCCTTCCTTTAGGAGAAGTTTGGTTTCATTGGTGCACATATTTGTTTGGCTATAAAGAAATCTCCCATTGTCTTTTAAAGAAACTTAACAAGGGGCAAAAACTTTTCCTTCGATTTTCTCAAAACAGCGTTCTCCGGGATAGCCCCCTTGTGCGTAAAATTGACCAGTTATGCTCACGAAAATATTTGCTCCCAAGTGGGGAACTCTGAAAGTACAAAGAGTTATGTTTTCACAAGTTAGAAAATCTAAAGTCAAGAGACTTAGTTTTTACAAACAATGAAAGTCTTTGCTCCTCATTTCATCACTTTTCATAATCGTTGTTCTTCTCTTCCTAAGCTTTCTTCTTCCACATAATTTCTTTCTCTGTGCTTCTTTCTCTGTTCCTGGTTTATCGCCAATCTGTGACTGCTTCAATTGGTTTGTGTGTCTGTAACTGCCTTTCCTTTCTCGCCTTTCTCTTCTCCTCTGTCAATTGAGCACAAATTGACCCACATTCCCCACATCCCGTGTGGACGCTTTTAGCTGTAATCGACTTCATTTGCCGGTAGCTGCTCTGAAATAAAAGGTTGTAACTCTGATTTCTATGAGACCTCATTCACGATGATGGTTTAACCCTCTCTAATTCTCTCTCTCTCTCTCTCTCTCTCTCTCTCT